AAATTCCATTTTTGTGACCAAGTATTTGTGTTAAACGTATTCAACATGTTTTTTTTTTGTATTATTGTGACATGCAGCTACATATGGTTCATAAAATATCTCTCGCTGACAGCTGCATTATCAATCCTTTTGTTAAATTGTTCCTAAAGATGAGACTTTTCATGACGGCTTCAATTTTCCTTTAACTTTTCAACTCATCAATAATCACAGACTATTTGATCTGCTTGTCCAGAATTTGAATCAATCTCATGATGAGAAATAACTGAAAATATCCGGCTTTTATCTTTGTAAGTTCCTCAGATATTGTTCTTCAAACAGCCTGAAATGTTACTGTGAGAAAAAAAAAAAAAACTGCTGAAAGTGGGTGGACTGGCAATTTTAAGAAAAATTATCTTAGTAATTACTTAATACATTAAGCTAAAATTTCACAGATACTATTTTAAATATCTATAGTTTATGAAGAAAAAGTTTCAGGCAGATCAGAGCTGAGGGCCCCTGATGATTGAAGGTGGAGTAGCCCGGCTGTACAGAGATAAAGAGGAGTCCCCTCCATCTGCAGAGTGGCTCGGTTTTGACGGTGCAGCGTTTTGACAGGGGCTGTTCTCTGGGACTCCCACCGGCTTCCCACTGAGCTCCGCATCTCTCGGCGATCTGTCAGTCGTTCAGCGAGCCGCCCTGACAGCTCCTAATGTCTCAGCTTCGTCCATGCATGCTCCGATTTGCAAATGGCTTCTCCCACTCGATGTCTCCCTCGCATGCATCCGTGCACGTAAACATTAACGCAGAAGCACACGCGCAGACGGGCTCCTGTGGGCTGAGGTACACCATGTCCACTTTCACTCCTCCTCCACCCTCCCTTAAACTCTGCACATTAGGACTAAACTGAGGGGGCACACAGTGTCTCCGAGGAAGTGCCACATGTGTCCTGATGCCCTCGCTGAGCTGTGAGCCGGTGGAGCTGGAGGGTGACATCAGGATGCAGAGACTGTTTCATAACTCTTCTGACATGTGTGGCCCAATTCACTAGAACAGCCAGACATAACCACCTCTGTAGGTCTGGTTGCTTTACAGGACGGGAAGGTGGGATTGTAACTCCACACGGTTTGTTTCTGTGGGTTGAAGAAACTACACTCCAACTGGTAGCAGGCTGTACTAAAATGAATGTTTTTAACTGGATTGTTTTTTAACAATTTAAAGTGATTGTACATATTTATCCTGTTGACTGTATAAAGAAAATGACAAAACTGTCAATGTCCACAACAGAAATCTATAGTTTTACAAATAGCCCTTTATTCTTTTATAACATTTGACTGTAATATCATATTATTTTTTACTAGATCTAAATCAGGAAAAAAATTATTTCACAAATATCTGCCGTAATTTGAAATAACAACTATATATGATAAAGATGTAAAAACTGTAAATCATTTGTTTATTTAACCGTAAAATTACGCCATTTTATTTTTACTATGGTACACCATTTTATAAGCAATACATATCATTATATGACAGATATATGCTGCTATTTAGAAGAAAAAATATGCACATATATATTTTTTCTTTTTTTTTTTAAATCACAGATAATAGCAAGTAAAAATCACAGGGAAAAAGTTTGAGTTTATACATTGAATATTAAGAAAGTCATAACGGTCAATAATGTCCACATCAAAACATCTATACAGTCTTGACTGGATAATCTGACCCTGAACAATCCGAAAACCTTGCATCCCACAGATTTTTAGGAAAAACAAATGGAACCCATAAAAAACAGCCTTAACATACTGACAGCCTTGGATTCTGGCTTATTCCGAATCACAGAAAAAAAGCACTGACCTTAAGAAAACCAGGCCAGAACTGTACATAATGTTCACATAAAAATCTGTAATGTTACAAATAGAACTGTTTCACTGTATTGAAATTAGTTAAATATTTAACTATTTGCTGTTACTTTACAGTGTTTTTTAATGTTATAGTTTTCACCATTTTCAAATATATTTTTTCTTGCATTTTTGTAGCCAGATTTTTTTATTTATTTATTTTTTTACAGTGCATTTAACAAGCTCTGATACATCACTCACCTGGTTTCCCACCAACAGAAGGTGTTCTCCTAACAGGAAGTCTTTCAGCATGTCCTCCATCACCCTCATGTGCTACAGAGACATTTAAACAAACACACATTGGTCAGAAATTACACTTAGTTTTGAGAACTTTAACTGAACCCAGATGGACGTTGTGGTTAATAGTGTTTCACTTATTTTTTAAAAAAAAAGCAACGTTTGAGAATAAATCAGCTTCAAAACCGCACTGGTTTGTGTAAAAATGTTTGCTTTCTCTGCTTTTTTTTTTTTTTTTTTTTTAACCAATGTGCTTCTACTGTGGAAGACAGAAAACAGGTCATTGAGAAAGTAGGGCATCCTCCTCGCTCTCATCCCATCTCACCCTCTTCCTCTTTTTATTTCAGACCCCAACAGGAGGAAAAAAGGGCAGAATGAGGACAGGTAGGGGGAAAGAGATAAATGTGGGTCGCATGGTGTGATCAGTGTTGCCAGAGGATGTGAGAGCGTCATTTCCTCGGCTGGTTCGTCATTGGGTTCAGTCAGACTGAGCCACGGTGGCCAAACACCAGCGTCAAAGTGAACAAAAACTGGCAAACCTTCCTTTACGTGCATGTGTAATTGTATCCAAATCTTATGTGTTATATGCAAAAGACTCATCAGTCTTCTGTGGCACTCCAGGGCTGAAAAATTAAGCCAATGCAGAAAAAACAGCAGTTCCTCAAATGTCCACTTGAGGCTCCAAAAGAGAGTCAATCCCTTGCAGAGCTCCATGTTAAAATGTCCAACTTTGCAACAGAAATAAACATGTGTCCAGTCTAGTAAAACAAAAACAGTTTTGGTCTTTACAGCTAATTTCCCTCTTTCATGACAACTGTAGAGGAGGTACAGTTCTATATAACTCACATGTTTACATTGGGTTAGGGCTGAAAGTTATACAAAATTAAAGGGGTGGCCACCATGAGCGACAGCACTTTTGGATTAACCGGGAGTTAGGAGGAGTCAGGTTTAGCCTTCAGGTGACGTCATAAAGGGTTCGTCCATCTATACGTACATTTGCCACAAACAATCCAAACCTGCAATTCATTACAGTGAACTGATGTACTGAGGAGAACAGTAACTCCAAACTACAAAAAAACATCATCAGCTACATATATTATTAACTATGTTTTTAAGCCCTTTGAACACCAGATGGCAGGTTTGAAAGGCAGCCTAGCTTTAAGAAAACCACCAAGATCACAGCATTTATCAGAGCCAGAAACTGTAAAGAGACATCAAATGCTTAACTTTCTGACAGTCTTTAAAATAAACTTGTGTGACTTTTAAATCTCAACTCATGGCGTTTCATTAAAATTACTCTATTTTACATTTTTAACTTAAAACACTTTGCACCAGATTCTGCAAAAAACAAAAGATCTGCAACTCCTCGATGCAACTGTGAAGCTATTAGTGACTCGGCTGTGACCAAAAGTCAAGGGACAAAAATTCAGGGACTTTTCAGGTGAACTGCTGGCAGTGTAAGATATAAGTAGTAAAATATCTATAGCATGTAGAGTCAGTTTGTTTCCAGTAATAATAAAACCTGTGGACTTAAAAAAAAAAAAAAGAAAAGAAAAATTGTACAGACTGATTTCAGGTTTTTTCCCATTTTTGTCAAATAATTGAAGAAATTAAACTTTTGGTTATTCTTTTGTATGATATTATAACTGTGCCATCAGTAATAATAGTCTGGTGGGATTTATTTTAATACAAGAGATGAAGAACTATGATATTGAGAATAAAACTTTGCCTCACAGGTTTCAGGATTACTTGTGTGTTTAATACTACAAGTAAAAGCTGCATTGAAAAACCTTGGCTGAGCTTGTTTTCTGTTTTTCCAAAAGCCTGCTGCCTCTAGCTCCTGAAGACGAGTGAACATAAACAAGGACAAAAGTACGACTGAGAAAAATGTGAAGAAAAGATTTGCTGAGCACATGGAGTTCTGCCCATTTTTACACCCACGGAATGCAAACTAAAGCAGGTGCGACTGCTGTATTTATGGTGTCTGAAAGTTACAAGAACTGAGCACAAACTCTAACTAAACTGATTTCCTGTCTACGCTGCCAAACTCAAATTTAAACCAATTTCTGGACTAATTCTGCATCACAAGTATGATTAAATGCAACCATTCAAAGGAATCATGCCTGCTGCAAACAACAATACACAAATAAAGTGGAGAATTAAGGCCATGTTGCTTCCTTATCCCATAAAATCCATCAATAACAGCAATCAGAGGTCGCGTACAGTGCACTGGGACAGATGGGACTGAGATGCACATATCTAAGGCTCCCATGTATCTGATAAGCGCTGAGCACTAACAACAAAAAAACATGGCCTTGGGAAATAACAGCTAATGCCAGAACTAAAAGCAAAATCCCTAATATTAAAATGATGTCACTTAATGCAACAAAGATAGTGTGATAATAATGAGAAAGAAAGAGATATGAGCCGTAGGGAACACGAGAGAGCAGGCTTATAATTGGTTTATGACCTCTTGAATTGTGATTTTTCTCAGTCGGAGACAACAGGAATTCACTTTTACCATTTACAATCTGGTTTTTGTCCTCAAGTGATAAAATCTGGGTCATGTCCTGGAAATAAACGTCTTTTGCGGCTCTCTTTTACAGTCATACAATGATTGGTAACATGTTTACAGATTTGATTTAGAATGACGCATACAGTGCCTATAAACAGTTTCCATCCCCCTTGGAAGTTTTCCCCTTTTATTCCTTTTTAACATTGAATCATTGTCAATTTGAATGAACAACAACGATTCTTTGATGTCAAACTGAAAACAGATTTCCACAAATTAATGTCAATTAATTAAAGATGTAAAATGTAAATTAATTAAATTGCATAAGTATTCGCCCCCTTGACGTGAGAAGTAACACAATTAGTGAAATCGAGATCATCTGAGTGCAGTGAATGTGTCTCAGTGATAGATGTATAAAGACTCCTGTATCTGGAAGGTCAAGTCACTGTTGAATCAGTCCTCCTGGATATAACGACACCATGAAAACAAAAGAACACTCCAAGCAGCTCCATCAGAAGGTGACTGAAACGCATAAGTCAAAGGACAAGAAGTCCCTGAATATTCCTTGGAGAACAGTTAAAACCATCATTAAGGAATGGAAAGAATATGACACAAGCATAAATCTGCCTGGAACAGGTCGTCCTCAAAAACTGAGTGACCAGGCAAGAAAGAGACGAGTGAGAGAGGCCACCAAGACACCTAGGACTCCTCGAACGGAATCACAAGCTTTAGTAGCTAAGATGGGAGACACTGTTCAGATAACAGTTGTAACCTGTTCTTCACCAGTCAAAGCTTTAAAGGAGAGTGGCCAAGAAGAAGACACAATTGAAAAAAAACAACCTTGACTAAAGTTCACCAGAAGGCATGTTGGAGACTCTGAAGTCAACTGGAAAAAAATTCTTTGGTCTGATGAGACCAAAATTGAGCTTTTTGGCCATCAGAATAGACGCCATGTTTGGCAGACACCAAACACTACACATCATCACAAACACACCATCACAACTGTGAAGCATGGTGGTGGCAGCATCATGGCGGTATCATAATGCGGGGAAGATTCTCAGCAGTAGGACCTGGAAGGTTTGTAAAGGTAGAGGGTCAAATAAATGCAGCAGAGTATCAGGAAATCCTGGAGGACAACCTGATGCAGTCTGCAAAAGAGCTGCGCCTTGGAAGGAGATTTGTTTTCCAGCCAGACAATGAGCCGGCGCACACAACCAAACCTACACAGAAACAGTTTAAAGACAACCAGGGGAATGTTGTGGAGTGGTCGAGTCAGAGCCCAGACCTCAATCCAACTCAGAATTTGTGGCAGGACTTGAAAGGATTGTTTCATCATGATCCCCATCTAACCTAACAGAGTTTGGGCAGTTTAAGACAGAAACGTGCAGATGTTCAGGCTGATCTATCCACACAGAATCAATGCTGTAACTCAAAGGAGGTAAAGGAGCCCCCTTTTTTTTTTTTTTTTTGTAAATTCTTGTTTAAAAAAAAAAAAGAGAGAGAGAGAAATTATATTTAATACGATTCAATGCTGAAAAGCAATAAAAGGGAAAAAGTGTCCGAGGGGATTAATAGTTTTTATAGGGATTATATAAGATTTATCCCAAATTTCCTCTATGGGGATCAATAAAGAATGATCTTATCTGGTTGTGAACTGTTGTGTAATAATTACCTGGGGATTATCATAGAACAGCACATCTGGAACCTTCATTTTCTCGCTGGCGTTGTAGATGGGAGCAGACACATTGCCAATCGTCAACACGCCATCTTTTACCATACCTGGAAAAAAACAAAAGTGTGTATTGTGTGCATCAGAAGCACAATCTTCTGCCTTACATTGCTGAGAAAGCTTCTTCAATCAAATTCACTCATTCACTGTTTAGGATTTGGACTTTTAGTGTGAAGGTTTTCGAGCCCTCAGTTCACAGCAATGCATATAATCTGCTCCTGATGAATTTATGACACACATCTAATAATGTCAAATATCTTGTTATTTAAACTACAACAAGGGTTTTTACTAAAATATCATCTCTATGTCTACCTGATGTTTAATTTCAAACTGGAATAACATTTTGCTATTTAGCAAGCAAGTTCTATCGTATAAATATTATTATTCTTTAATCTGCTGAACTCTAAGCAGTTTCTGGGTGTTTCTTTTTCTTGCTCCAGGCACATTTTTTCTCACCGTGGGCTCATTTTTTTTTACTGCAATATAAAGCCCTGCATCTCTATGGAAACAAAACAACCATGACTAGAAGGGGAGAGAACTCAGTTATGTCTTCTGTGCAGTACAACACAGTTATATTGCCATAAATTATGAAACAAAAAGTAAAGTTCTTTGATTACCTAAATAAATGCTTTTATCTGTATGAGCTGTTTTCCATGAGCAGAGCATTTTAAACAATACCTCAGTCGATCATGTTCATTTAAAAGTACAAAGCCAAAATCATGACGAATGTGCTTTTGATTGGACAGCACTACTACGAGCTCTCAGAGAACAATTGTGAAACTCACACAATGGAGCAGTAATTACACACACTCAAGTGATCATCAAATCATTAATGTGTCTCCGCTCTGGAAAACATCCATTGTACCTGTAATCATGATGATTGCATGCATGAATCAGGTGAGAAAACCAATCTTGACTCTTGAAGTTTATGCCTTTGAAAAAAGGAAAGGTTTTGGGTCGGATTGTTTCTTTTCTTTGCTTCTGCACCTTTTGAACGTTGCATGTGTCTTTGTTTCATCAAAGGCAGAAAATCCATCATTAGAAATTAATCTCTCCTTCATTTTGAATAAAAACAACATAAAGCTGCTGCTGACCACAGTCTTCAAAAACATGCTTGCATGCTCATTTTAACAAACACAAAAAACAATTTACTAAATAAAAAAGTTCTGTATGTTCTATCTGAGATGGTTTTTTTTTTTCTTTTTTACTGTTTCCTTCCACATGTCCATTGGAGAAAACGGATGTAAACAGAAGTTCTGAATTAGCAGATTTTTATATTTAATATTAATACCTCAAAACAACAGCGTGCATGAGCAAGGTTACCGGACATTGTATCAAATGTTGCTCCTACGTTGAGAAAAAAATGCCACAACGTACATGTTTTTAGCACTTTAATCATTTCAGACTATAGGATTTGATCTAAGGAGTTTCTACCTTGTTAATTTTGTTTTTTAGTATTTTATATTAGTTTTGGGGTTTTTTTTTGCTTTATACATTGTTTTTAAAGGTTTAATATTAGTTGTTTTTTTTGTGTTGATGCCTGTCTTATACCATGTACAGCATGTTCCACATAAATACACTTGATTTAATTTGTTTGGAGAAATCCAGAGTTTTGACATATAATTAAATGCAAAGTTAGAAGCCTCAGCCTCAGACAGAAAAAAATCCTCAAAGGGCAGCTTGATAAATCTGAATTAGATAACCAACTGGAACTCACAGCGATACTCCCGAGTGTGTTCGGAAGGATCTGGTTTGTCCTCGATGGAGCAGTTGGCGAGGCTTTTCTCCAGAGAGGCTCGTGCCAGGCTGGGCAGGAATCTGAAACACACATTCACCACACAATCACGTATCACCAGCCAGATAAACACACAATGAGAGTGTGTGTCTGTTTGTACCTGGAAAGACAGGCCTTATTGACGGCGTGAGCGATGCTCTCGTCGGGATGCTGAGAGAGACGGCGGCAGATCCTCAGCAGCTGTCTGGTGGAGAGAGACGAGGCCAGAGACTGGGCCTGCAGATAAACACGGTGCACAAAGTAAATTATTTTATTAACATGTAAACCGAGTGGAAAAATCACAGACGCACACTTACTGTGGGGTCGTTTGTCTGGCGGAGGCTGTGTGTGAGGTTTAGAAGCTGCTCTGCTGCTTCATGGGGAACATTGGGACACTAGAAAAGAAGGAGAGGGATTTTTTTTAGGCCGCTTCAGACATGCGACATGGAACATCTCTGGGTTCATCAATCCGTTAAAGTGACAGCACTCACACTGGTCACTTCTCCGTTAATATTCCTCATGGCTGCATTCAGTTGGAGAGCACCTTATACAAGCGATACGTGTCATTCACGTAAGACTAATCAATGCACTAAGTGATGTATAAAACATAATAATGCAACATGCAACAGACTAAAGCTAAACTAACAGCAGCTGGTCGAAGTGTGAATAACTAACAGCACAGTTTAATTTCAGTTTCTTAAACAGTGAAGCTAAAAGTTCAGGATTCAATCTGAGAACAACTGAGATGTGACAAAATAATAACAATAATAAGAAGAACAACTTTATCTATTTAGCACCTTTTAAAAACAGAGCTTACAAAGCACTTTACAGACAGCGCAAAAAGACAAAAGGATGATACTCAGGAGAACCACTGACCTACAGAAGGCCTGTAAATAGTGTAAATAAATAAAATCATCGTACTGTTGACTCTTTGGAACCTGGCGAAGACGAGAAAACTTTATGTTGTGTCTCAACCACCTCTACGCTTGGTGTAAAGGCCTGAAGGACTGAACGAGTCACTTTACCAAACCGATAGAGCAGCAATGTTACATATTAGGGATCAACCTATATGTGTTTTTTAAGGCCAATATCGATAAATACTGATAATCAAGAAAGGCCAATAACCAATATTTGGAACAGATATGCAATAAATGTAACGTCTTAGGAGCATGTGACAGCATGAACCGGTCATTCACAATTAGGCCTCTTCATTAATAAGGGTGACTATAACCAAATATGTAAAATAGAAACAGAAGTGATTAAATTATCTACTCTGTTTATGTAGGATTGACTAAAATTGATCAGTTTGTCTCCTGCAGTTACATCTACTGTTCCATCTTCTCTGCTATCTTAATCTTTCTCTGTTCTGTCACTTTTATTGCTCACTGAAGTCAAAATCTTAAAGCATTTTTAATTGTTGTTCTCCAGACATTTTTGCAGTCGCTGCTTGAGAGATATTTCTGAGACCAGAGTGATGACAGACAGGTAGAGGAGGCTGCATTAGACCTGAAGTAGGGCATTTATTTATCAATGATCGGTCAATAAAAATACAGACACCGATAATCAGAAAAATGCCACGCCATATATCGACCTCAATAACCAGCCGGGCTGATAATTGGTCTATTACATATACCACGTCTGAAAAGGGCTTAACAGTGTGTGGCTCACCAGCCCCTGTATGAGGTCCATCTCCTCGGCTTTGGCCAGCGGTGTGACCGTGTGGTAGAGGAACATGGTGAGCAGCTCTGGGCCCAACCACTGCTGACCTCGGCTGTTGCTGCTGCTGCTGCTGTTACTGCTTGCACCCACGACGGGCGGCTCTGCCAGGGCCAGCACTCTGAACGACGGATGGATGGCGAAGATTGACCTGAAAACACACAAACATGCTGGATATCAGCAGCACACCGGCAGCGTAGGACACACACAGTTGAACATCTGTTCAGCCATGTTTGAGTGGATGCAGGTGCACATGGTGTTTGTCACGGATATGTGCGCGTACGAGTGTCACGGCGAATCTTTGTCAGGGTCGAGATCATGACTTCCGACAGCTGGCTGTGAAATCCTCTGATTTAAGAGGACAGCAAAGTCCATTTCTATCAAACCACAGAGACGCCCACGCTGCAACAGGATATATTTACTCCACTGTGGGCGAACTGGCGCTAACCTTCACCATGCATGAATGTGTGGGAAGACGTTTCATATAAGAAGATATCAGAGGCTGGTATTATAGGCCTTATGCATACCCTGTATATTAATATCCCATCACATACGTAAGGTACATCTGCTTTTCATTATCGCTCTTATTCGCACAGCTCCTGTTGTGCTTCTTCCTTTCAGCTCTGTGATGTTACAGAAATACAAATACAAATCTAACAACTGTGTCTCTTTGCAGCATGTGGTTTCTTTCTGTTGCTATGGGAAACAACATTGTTCTATCTTTCTATATATATATGTGTGTGTGTGTATGTGTATATATATAAAACTATCTAATACACATATAGGCATACAAGCATACTGATGAGCAACAACAGCCTTAAAACCACCTGCCTACTACTGTGTACGTTGTGCCAAAACAATCCTGGCCCACACAGGACCTCAGAGGTGTCCTGTGATGTCTGGTAATTGGCTATACAACATAGCAGAAAATTATCACAATAAAATGTTAAAAATGAGCCACAATTATTGATGTTGGCCTCAATTGTAGTCAATATTGATAATCATGGGTCATTTTAAATTACCTAATTTGAATAAGGACCAGTAAAGAGAGGGTTGAACTTGAATTTAACCATTTTAACCTATTTATCAAGATACACAGGTAGTACACTTTATGTCAACACAATTAACTCACTAAAATAAAGATAAACTGATCAGTATTGGCACAATCCTCAGCCTGATCCTTTGTGTACCTTTGTGTACGTCTACTGTACCACATGTCGTGAATTTGAATAACTTTCTTAACAAATATCAAATCAGTACTCTTTGGTACACGCTACGGGGCACAAAATCAGCTGTTACTTGTGCCACTGGGATATAGTAATTTTTTTCTAGTTGATCCCAGCTGGTAAACATGTGGTGGCCAGAGGTCATTACGCGTCACACAAGTCTTTGTCATGGTGGCCATTTACAAGCTAAACCCCCACAATGTTGTCAGCATGGCAAAATAGAACGAGTACTACTTATAGTATAAAACAGTAAAGACGCTTCACCTGGTGGCACAACCAGGTACTACAGCTAGTCTACAATATTTGAAGTGTGTATTATCTCGGAAAATGGTATGAAAGTGGGATTTGGTATTATTAAATGACTAGGATATCAGACCGGAGGCAAAAAAAAAAAAAAACTTGCTTGCAACAGTGGGAACCCCGATTGAACTGAATATCGAGAGAATTAATGGAAACTGTACTATAACACCCAAGAAAATCCTGGGACAGACACACATACACACACACACACAGACACACACACACACACACACAAACACACACAGACACACACTCTTCATCTGAGCCACAGGAGTGGAGGAAGAGGAAGTGGGTTTATTTCAGCCCAGACACCCCACCACAAACATCCTTCCTGCCAGCTTGGGGGGGGAGTTTAACACACACACACACAGACACTAATGTGCACTTCAACACACACACAAACACACTCCCTGACTCAAATGCAGGGAACAGTTAAGGTCATGACCAACAACAGTCATCCATATACAATATATTACAGCCCTGCGGTTAAAAATGTAAAATGCTGTTGCATGTTTTTCTAAACCACTGCACAGTGTTTTGCTGCACACTGAACTTCCAAACTCATTAAGACAATATAAATCTTCCTCGCTCATACTTTCTGCACTTTTATCCACTGCAGACCAAAGCACTTATTCAACTTTGGGCTATTTTCAGAATGAACACCTGGTAAGACTCCCCCTCCGACAGGATCCGCAGAATAAGTTGGATGATACCGATCCAGGAGGGAGAGAAAACACAAACATACAGCACATGTGACTCTAGGCTTCACTTATGTTGGTTTTCAGTTGTATTTTTTGATCTTTCCTTTCTTGTAAACATCCCAAAAAGTGAGAGATGATGAGGGTAAGGCACAGGGCATCCCAAATATGAACATCAATCTCTGGGTTTATCTGGAAACCTATTTTTGTCCCTGCTTCCCTCTCTAGTGCTGAGTAGTTGTTAATGTCTTGCTCCTACAAGGTTCCCACACTTGTGATTTGTAAATGTGTTTGTTTCAGTACCTCTCTTGCAGCTGTTCATCACTAAGCTGCAGATTTTCCTTCAGCGTCTGGTATCTGTCCCACCTCAGCAGCCTGGTCCCATCGTACAGATCCAACTCCCTGTCGTGGAGCAACCTGAGACACAAAACGCAGCAAAATGAGTTAAGAAGTGTGTGTTTGTATTTGTTATTCGCAGCTCCAGCTCCCTTCAGAGAAAACATGAAAGCAAGTGCACTTTAAAAAGTAATTCAAGGGACCTATTCCCTATATAATAATGTCGCACCAACTTAATATTGTGTATGAGTTAGTTGAAATAAAACTCAATTGAAGTTGCCGTAAGTTAAATAAAATTGGCTTGACAATTTTATTTTTCTTTACCTTGAGTTCAGGATTTCAAGCCCCCTAACTATTAAACAACAAATCATACAATATCAGACAACTAAGTATGTGTGTTAGAAGGTCTGTATGTTGAATAAATATCACACAAAGGACATCTCAAAGTGAGTATCAAGCATTTCACAAATAAATTCCACTAGAGCACCGAATTTGGGAACATTTTCCATCAGGATAGGACCAACAGTCGACTTGTGTACAGAGTTTTGGCTACACATGCTAACAGAGCTGATGTGATATGCTGTATCACTGCATGTAGCTTATGACTACCCTTAGCTACATGCAGTAATACAACATATAGATAACGCTAGTCTTACATAGCAGTGAAATTTGGCCATCCTATTATTTAACGTAGCAAACTAGTGGGTAAGAATGATAAAAGTTCATTTGACACATGTGTTCAGCTGCAGAGAGTTTATCGTGTCTATTTAGAATTTGTAGGGCAGTTGAAATTTTTGTTGTTTTTGCTGTCAAGATTTAAACATTGCATATTAAAGTACGGGCTGCAAGGTGGCGTAGCACCGTTGCCTCACAGCAAGAAGGTCGCCGGTTCGTGTCCAGGTGAGGACACCCGGGATCTTTCTGCGTGGAGTTTGCATGTTCTCCCCGTGCAGCGTGGGTTCTCTCCGGGTTCTCCAGCTTCCTCCCACACAGTCCAAAAACATGTTGAGGTTAATTGGTGATTCTAAATTGTCCGTAGGTGTGAATGTGAGTGTGCTTGGTTGTCTGTCTCTAAGTGTAGCCCTGTGATAGACTGGTGACCTGTCCAGGGTGTCCCCTGCCTTCACCCTGAGTCAGCTGGGATAGACTCCAGCCCCCCGCGACCCTAGTGAGGATTAAGTGGTGTATAGATAATGGATGGATGGATGTTCAAGTATACAACTCTTAATCTCCTAAAAGTTAATACATGAACAAAAACTTGCATGCACTTTGCATTTATTTATTATGTACTAAGAGATTGTTGACTAATTTCATAGCAAACTTGCAATGGCAGTAAAGAAATTCAATTCTATTCTATTCTAGTTTAAAAAATTAAAAAAGCCCCAAACTACTGAATAAAACCAACTTCATTTGATTAAGTTAAAGATGGTTTTACACTGCTGATCACTCAGTAATTACAAAGACCTTTGAGTGAAGAGGAAAAGCAAATTCCTCTAACTCAAAGTAGTTTGCTAATTGAACAAAATTTCATTACAAAGATGCAAACTATTGCATTTATATATTTTATAGAGAGCCCAAATACTATTATTTTAGCAGTACCTTGACAGCACAGCCAGTGTTCCCAGGTTGACCCTGTGTATGCCATCAAGAAGCAACAGTTTGCCCTCAATGGCGGCGGTGACCAGCGGCGACGGCCTCCACGCTGTGTCTCCGTTCGGGAGAGTGTATCTCTGCTGGAGAAGGTCTCTGGCTGTCATGTCCTACAAGTCAAAGACAAAGACGTAGAAGGAGGGAGGGAGGGATGATAGCAAGGAGGACATAGAGTACATCAAGTTAAAAGAGATGAAGTGACTCCACAGCCCAGCTAATCTGGATAAAGAAAGCTCAGATTTTCTTGCCAACATACACCAGATTTTCTCCAACTGTCCCCACATGATCTGGCCCAGCTGCTAAATTTAATACCTCCGCTTTACAGATAACACTTAATGGCACATTTCTGTCTGGAGGGGGGCAGGACTTTCATATCCACTATCACGCCACCATGTCACAGCGGAGACGGAGGGTCTTAGAGAAGCGGAGGTGCACAATTTGTTCCGGGAGGTGGAACATTACCGAGCTGCTAACTGCTCCGCGGCAAGAAGACGCTTTGCATTAAATCAAAACGGGGCTCTTCGTTTGGTGCTCACATGAAGTGGAGTGAATTAAGGGGTGGCCATTATAACGGCGGCAGGCATGACTCATTAAAGACAAGAGACAAATGGACAGCTTGCTTTAGTCACAACAGCGAAGTCAGACAGGCAAAAGCTACGAGGACGTCATTTGTCCCAGGTCCTGTGACATTTATCATTTCTCAGCATCATTAACCTCTTGAGCTCGAGGCTGTTTGGTGAAATATACTGAGGTTCAATCATTCACAGCTCCAAACTGCAGATAAACCTCAGGCTGTATGGATAAGAGACACAATCAGCTGGTCAGAGTGAGACTCCAAAAACTCTTCAGAGACAGAATAACAGCTATATGATGTTGGATCAGTGACAATGGTGCGATTAAACCTTCAAGACCTGTAATCACAGAAGTACTGAACAGACTCTCCAATAAGTGTGACAAGATCGGTAATTTTCTCAAAATGGCAATTTTAACAACAGATAGCAACGTGGTGGAAAGGGTTATATGAGGACTGGTCTCATCAGCCACAGGGAGAGAGTAATCTTCTTGTCTCTCAGGGTTTCTGGTGACCTACCAACCAGTGTGTGAGCTGCACCGCAGGGTTTGGGAAGCTCACTTGTTTCCTTTTTTTACAACACGTGCAACATCTTTAAAGGGTTTGGTTTAGCATTTATTTATCATCGCTGCTAACAATGCGAATGTGAAAGTAGCCACTGCTCTGGATTTTTAAGAAAATTTTGAGAAAATAACAACTTGCATTTTTTCCAACAGATTCTGTGATTTTGATTTGCAATATAATTTTTAAAGTCATGTTTCAGTCCAGGTTCACTGTGTAACAGATTTAATGGAGCATTATCACGTGAAACACCATTAAAAGTAAGACTGTCACACATGGAGGATGCCATTAATTATCTGTAAAGCCACTGACACAATGGACATGACAACAGTTTACATCCTGGGTCAGGCACACTGCAAAATGCCCAAGGTGTGGCTATTAAATCATGACAATGGGCTTAAGTCCCTGTTCCAGTCCATATTACAGAGAATACTGATCAACAGGCAGCATAAACAATGAGAGAAGGTTGCAATCTGCTCAAATTAAATAAAATCGAACCACATGATTAGTTTTTATTATTTAA